GATAGTTGGATTTCTAGGCCGTTCAGCCTTTACCTGTGAGAGTCAGGCTGCCATCAACACGGCTAATTAGTACCAATGTAATTGGGAGCTGTGTAAGGTGAATGCCTCTCCACTGAGAGTGATCCAAGACCTATGTTCCCTCTAAGGCTTTTTGTGTGTGCACACATGCATGAGAAACCAATGGCCAACAGAGCACAGTCCCTCCCCACACCCATCCCCCTCCTCTCCAGCACTCATGCTGTCAACCCAGCCCCATACCACTCACCAGCTCCCTCACTTTCGATATAAGCCCAAGAAAGGGGAAGCCCTGGAATCCTTCCCATACATCCGCAAACTAGAAGCACTGGAAGGAGCCAAGGCACAGGGAAGCCCATTTCCCCGACACCCAGACCAGTGTGGTAGGTACCCATGGGCAAGAGGTGTCTGTAGCAGGGGGCACGTGCACAATTTAGAATTCACCAATTCTTCTCCAGGTGTCCTGACTGCATTGATACATCACCCTGAAAGAGGGGCTGGTTTTCACACACTGAGCAACCAAACCCACCGGCTCTTGCTTGAAGGGAAAAGATGTTGTGGATAAAAAAGTATATTACCAGAGATTTTATTTTTAATAGAATCATTCTGGGATCTCCTTACACAGCTGAACAAGCTTGGAATTTACAGCCGTAGATGAGGCAACAGGATGAACCTGCTAACATGGTTGTCAAGTCTCTGCCTACATGCTCTGCCTGCAAAGCAGCCACCAAAGTAAGTTACTTTAAGAGAGGGACCATTTTAAACAGTGATGAGAAACAACAGACAGAAGCATCTGTATGGCTATTTCACTCTGTATAGCCAGGCAGATTCCCCTTCAGAACTTGATTCAGGCATTAATTTGTCAAACAGCTTTTTGATGACACTGTCATTCTTAAAGAACCGAGTCGAACACCTTGTGACGCAGGTAGCTCAGTTTCTCTGAATAGGTCCGTCTGAGCAAAGGAACCCATTCCCAAAAGGGCACCTCGACTACCACATATCCCAGTTTCTGTAGCTGCCTCCTTTTCAAGCTGTGCAATCCCAACAACTGTTTAGAACAATAACAATAGTGGCTCTTGTTTGACACCTGAATGGCTAGCTTCACGTCTCTGGGCAGCGGCCTTAGCTGGGAGAGACGATTTTCACGAGAGGTCTTTGGTTTGGTCAAGACATTCAAAATGGTGTCAGTCAGAGGAACCTCATATGAAAATGCAGAATGATTCCTAATGGGTGGAGCCTGCTTCTGTTCTACTGCCTCCTTCTGGCTACAAGTCTCTATCTGAGTTTTATTGCCCACAAGTGACTTGCCACTGGACTTCCCCTTCAGCAGCTGATTCTTTAAGTTATATTTGAGACCGACTCCAATGTCTTGCAGTTCTCCTTTAGCTGCTGCGGCAGCTTCTAAGTTAAAAGGTAACGGCTTTCGGTCTTTGCCCAAGTGGACCTCTATATCATTTGATCTAGTGTGAGGCAAAATCATGTGGTTTTTGACATACTGGGGTCCACCTAACATTACCTCAAGTACAGAGACAGCTTCTGTCACTTCCGGCTTTACGCAGAATTCCTTCTGCACAGAATTCCACAGCATCTCAGTAACCTCTTGCTGAAACTGCGGCGTAAGGCGATTACCTTTGTAATCTGGACACTCGATCTCTACACTGCCACCAAGAGTGAACAGGTCCTTTTCAAGAGCAAATTTATTCTCCCTGGTTAACTGAATAAATTCAGCACTCAGAGCGTAATCTATCAGGTCATCTGGGAAGTGCCCAGCAAATGCCAGAGCCAACAAACAGGTGAGGAAATGTTGTGGGAACTTCTCAAATTCATACATCTTTCTGTACATCTGCTCTATGAGGCTGGAGTAAAACCTCTCTGCATTAGGCGGCTCATAATTCAGGCATCCGAATGACCACAAGAATTTAGCAACATCTTTGCTACGGCAATACATCACCCTGGAAGGCACCAAAAAGGCTACTGCATTCATAATCCCTTCATCGAGGTAATGCAAGGCTGAACAGGCAAGAGTTATGTGCATGACACCCTGGATGCCTATAGTACCAATCCGAGGAGGAACGACTTTCCCAAGTTGCTTCAAGAATTCTAAATGAATGACATGAGTATAGCGGAACATCTTAAGTACATTCACTAAAGCATAATTGCTCATGTCTGCCAAGTGGCCTGACACCTTGTCTCCAATTTTTCTCATGAGATGCTCAGAAAAGGCACTCTTGGACTTGAAGAACCCCAAGGAAATGGTGCCCACTTCCTCCAAGTTGAAGGAATTCAAGTACTTCAACACTAACGTCTCCAACTTCTGCATTAAATCTTGGGGCACGCTTCGGCCTTCACCTATGATATAAATCAACTGAACCAGCTGAGGCAAGGTGAGGTCTTGCCAATGCAAGTTAATATAACTGAAGGAGATCTGTAAATAGTGAGGCACACTGCATCCCAAGCAGCGCAACAGGTCAGCCACCAGCAGTAGCTGATCCAGGCTCATGTCCCAGACTCGATGGCAAAATTCAGTCTCATACACACTCAGCATGGAGTCGGTTGGTGGAATGCCTAAACGGATAAAGGCCTTTAAAATGTCAGTGAGTTCTGAGATGCTAAACAGCTGGATGTTTTCAACTCCGTAACGACACAGCATCTTAAACTTAATATTGGATATCACCAGCACATGCTGCTCCACTGGCAAACAGCTCAGCTTGCAAAAATATTCCACAATGGTTCCTGGGATCAGGCCACTCTTAAGTACAGTTACTTGATGTAATATCAAGTCACCTTCTTCTGGAGGAAGGACCTGCAAGGTCTCGGACTTGTCATAACTTAGAGATCGGTATTCGGGTCTGTGCTTCTGAAACATTCTGGGCTCTTTCATAGAGTCAAAGGTCTCCACATCAGCGTCTAGCAATTTGTCTTCCTTGGGCTCCAGCGTGGCTGGAGGTACTGAGCTGGCCTGTGTGGAAAGAGTTTTATGGAACTCCAGATCCAGCAAGGTGTGTTTTGTGCTTGACCGGCTTCGAGAACAGGTGACGCGGTACGTATTCTGAAACTGCTTAGCACTGAGGCTGGAGAATTCATTTCCAAGTGGCCCTTCACTATCTTCACAGTTTCTAGCAGCATTCTGATGGGATGCGGTTTTGGTTCCTGTGTAGGCCGATGGATTATAAAGTACTCTGTACTCCGGAAGGTTCAGCAATCTGATAGAAGCCGCAGCTTTAGCATCTGTGTCACTCACTTCAGGGCTCTCATCCTCCTTTTGTTTTCTACTAGGAATTCTCATCTTGGTCCCGCACTTGGTTGTAGTTGAAAATGCAATCATGCTGCGAACTCCTCCTGGAAATCTTCGGCATGTTATCACTGTAGCCATGGATCACAACTTACTGGGCTCAGAATTGTCTCCAGGTACTGAAAAAAGGGCAGATGAAGAATGAGTGGCTTCCATCTATCATGATGCATTTTTTAAAAACATAACCTTTAACACTATAGTACGTTAGATGGTATGAGAGAGTCCTGGTTTCCCACATGGTTCACAAAGAATTACTGAGTATCAGGTGTTTTCCTGCAAGTCAGCAGCTGAGAGTACTGTCCAAAACTACCACACGCAAACTCTACCCAAGATCAATGACCCAAGTTATTTTGCAAAATGGAAGACCTGATGCATTATGGAATTGATAGGATTGGCAATGCAACTGTTACAAGTAACTTATAAAATGGCTCTCACGTTAGGGGAAACATTTCCGTTTCTTCAGTTTGTGAAAGAACCTAAGGTACTTTTAACTGATTTTTAAAATTGATTAGATTTCAAGCTGACAGTGTCCCTTTAACATTTTTATAACTCTGTGTCATCAAAGCTCTAATAATTCCATTAGATTGTGTTTCAAATGACTCAGTTCTATTAAGAAGCACCAGCCAGAACCCCAGTAGTTCTGAAAATGAGGCCCAAGGACAAGCATTGCTCCACAGATGGAAGTATTCTGAGACTACATAAGGTAAGGCTGGGGTATTGGGAGGGGAGGTGGATACAGGAGAGGGTGTCTCTCTTATGAAGTGGTACACAGAATGAAAGCTGGAGTGGCACTAGCTTGCCAGAAGGATTGGCACCCTACCACCAAAACAAAAGTAAATGGCTGCTGTTAGTGACTGTTAACACTGTTAGGGAAGAAAAGCATGAGAGAAACCCCCCAAAGTCACAAGCTGCTGTTACACTATCACACACTGAAAATTAGTACTCAGAAGAACTGTAAGGATACCAAAGAGAGTTCCATTCTTTAGGCCTGGGGAAGTTTTCTACAGGTTTGGATGACGTAGTGCTTAAAACGCTAGTCACCACCCGGGGCCTTGGCTAGAAGAGTGCTCTCACCACTGCTACTGCAGATGGAAGGCAACGATGGGAAAATTGCCAAAACAAAAATCTAGTGTAGCCATCCTGGGTAAGCAGCCAATTTAGTCTCTTTAGGATGAGTCAGATGGTGATTAGTTACAGCACTAGGTCACTGCTCTGTTAATATATACTTCCCCCGCCTTGTGTGGCTAACCCTGAGGAGGTATTAGACAGCCATCTTCTAGCATTTTCAACTTCCTTAAAAGCTCACTCTCTTTCTTTCATTACTTAGAAGAAGCATGTGTTGGAACTGCAGGATGCCAAGTAATTAGGGAAGCCAAAGCTCGGTGAAGACACTACAACAGCAACATGTATTCGCTTCTGTGCTCCTCTGCACAAAGGCCTCCGGCCACAGGGACAGTAAGCTGTTATGGATGCCTTTATGACTCTGCATACAAATAGAGCTTCCTGACTGAGGACAAGCATGTCACACCCCATGACAAGAAGAAGAAGAAGAAAAGCCTAGTAAATGCTTAGCTGAGTTTTATGCAGAATTCCCCAGCGTAGCAGCAATAAAAAAAATAGACCAGTAGTGCCCTCTCACAGTGCTTCATTTATCATTTATCCTACTTTTCCTAGCCATGTTGCATAGGGTGCCTCATTCACGTTTTCTGTCGCTGGAAGAATGGCAACATGGAGGTGGCAGGAGGAGGTCTAGAACAGGAGAGTGCAAAAAGGTGAAAAAACAACTTGGGTGAAGAGATCGAGACCAGAGGAGAAAGCAAAAGAAGAAGGGAAATGGTTATCATGTGAGAAATCAAAGCAAGAAAAAAGAGATTCTAGAGAAAGAATTAAGGAAAAGATTGCTAGAAAAGAAGACATTTTATTTTTAAAAAAATATTAAAGGGTAGATAAAACTCATTTGCAGCTACTCCTGTCTGATGCCTTATCTGTGTCTAAACCGCATAGGTTAGGGCAACAGCAGTGTTTTTATCCATGTCAGCACAGCACAAAATTAGATGTCAGTGCTGGACCCAACACCAGCCTCCTCACAGCAATTCATGCCTTTGGTAGCCCAAGAGAAGATCAGATGAGATCATAATGGTTTCTTCAGTCTTGACGGCTCCGAATCACAGCAAGGCATTGTGCTTGGGACTTCGGCTAATGCTGCAGAAAGCAACAGCTCATCCTATGTGCGAGAATGCCACCCAATCCCTCTAATCTATCAGATGCTCTGATAAAACAAAACAAAACAAAACAAAAAACCCCACCTCCCAGTACACGTACAATAAAAATAAAGCAAATAGCCATTACATATTGGCACAATGCAGGCCACAGCAAATCCACTGTCAACAGCAGGTAGGAATCTTCTCTCTGGCCTTCCCTATCAATGCCTGCAGAACCCAAGATTTCCTTTAAAAACAAAAACATTTTTAGCTCTTAGGGTTGTCAGGGCAACCTGGCGTTGAGCGTAACTGACACAGAGCCATCCTCCCAGGTCTCCAGATAGATAGCCTGGAATGGTAGAAGTATGATTTGTGTAAGGCCCAAAATCTGGCCCCAGGGCGTAGCCTGAGTAGTTAGCATGTATACTGGGAAGCACCTTCGCAGTAAAGGCCCACCCATCTCTGAAACCACCTCCTCTTCCAGAAGTCTGCTGGAGCTTGAATTAGGTGACCTTTGTGGCCCAATATAAGCTAGTCGTTGACTGTCAGACCACTTTAAGTGCAAGATACGCAGGTTTCTTTACAGTCTATTTTTTGGTCTATTCTATGTGCTCTATATTAATTATTCCACTAATAGAACACACACATTCATTGATGCAAGGGGTGCCATCGATTAAAAATAAATGAATCTACTTTGCTCTTCTAGCCAAGGATCTCAAAGCACTTTGCTACCATTAGTGAACTAACCTTCAAAACATTCCTATGAGATGGTTATCCCCATTTTGCCCAGAGGAAAGTGAGTCACAGAGCCAGTCAGTGATGTGCCCAGGGTTACAGAGCTCACCAGAATCATGCTAAGAACCCTGTTAGAATGGTTTGGTATGAAGCTTTGTAAAACAAATCAGAAGTGCGTTGGGAAGTGCTATGTAGAGTTAAGAGTTTATTCACCGGTCCCTTGATTTCAAATCCATGGAACTAGCCCTCCTGAGAGTCAACAGAAGAACATGGAGAAGAGAAAGAAAGAGGAGGGGGAGGGACAGTGGACAAGAAATGCCAAGTCTTGAGAGAAAGACACTTTAGAACCTTTCTTGCTCATCACTTAATCTATGTTACTCCCATCTTCGAATCCCAACGACGTGCCAGATGAACTTTCAAGCTAGTCCTTCATTTCCTCCTCCAAATGTATTTTCTTTTATAGGTCCCTCTTCCCACCACCAATGACACATGCCAGCCTCAATGCCCTTTGTTCCTTCCTGCTCTCACACCTTTGTACTCTTTCCTATGCTCTTCTCCATGTGTAAATAGGCTGCCAACATCCCCTCTTCTCTCCATTCAAATCCCTCCTGGAAATTCACTTCTGCCGTGTCACGTATGAGAAGCAAGTTAAAAAGCAAACATAACTGGACCCCTCAAGCTGCATGCATGTCTTATGGAAGTCCCAAGAGATGACATTGTCCATCTTATCCTTCCTCAGCCCCTTCCTTCTGACCCTCATTTTGTGGGTCATGCCTAATACAGGCTCCAATCCTGCACGTGGATCTGGACGGGTGGACCCTTGTGGAGCACCAAGGATGACAAAATGGTTCCAATTGTGCAGAACAGGAGCCTAGGGCTATATGTTCTACGGGACAGGAACTGTACCTCTCCTGGAGTCTGAAGCATCTAATGCACTTTTGGACACTCAAAAATTACAAATGTACACTTGATAACTAACATTAAGAAATCTTTGTGTCATTCCCCCTTGGAGTACATTTCCCATCACAGTCTCACTGCTATGTATCAAATAAGTTATGTATTATACACTATGCTAGCCCCATAAATTAAAAATGGAAGGGAAGATATTATCTTCCAACAAATACCAGGAAATTTGGACCCAAATGTTAAAATTAGGTGTGAAATTGCATATTTTATATGGGATTCAGGTTTGGTTAAGAGTATAGCTAAGGCCTGTAAAGTGTGTTAAGGACAAAGGAATGACTAAAAAAAGCACCTGCGCTCAGCAGAGCTGCTCCAATTGTGAATTCAGAGTATTTGGAGGGGTGAGAGCTCCAGGGTGTATTTCACACCCAGGAATCATGGAGGATTAGATACAGGTGCCTGCTGCCACCTGGTGTTGAACAAGGCAGACACATGAGGGAATTTGCAGGCTATACTTTGGGTAGAAAAGCTTGAGATTGGCACTGCGTGGGGTCACCTAGGATGACCAGACAGCAAGTGTGAAAAATCGGGACAGGGGGTGGGGGGGGGGTAATAGGAGCCTATATAAGAAAAAGACCCCAAAATCGGGACTGTCCCTATAAAATCGGGACATCTGGTCACCCTGCGACCCCAGGAGCACCTGACCCACCCTACAGAAGGCAGCATGAGCAGGCGACCAGGCATGAAGGACACACGCCGGAAACTGCGTGGCCTGCCTGAGCGAGAGGGGCATTAAAACGTGTGCACCGCCTGGCCAGGACATCTGTCTGCACATGCACGGGGCACAGGCAACACGCCGGAGGCGGCAGCAGCACCTGTGCAATGTGTGAGTGTGTGCGCGCGCGCGAGGCACGCCTGCCCCGGCCCAGTGCACACGCAACACACGGGGAGCAGCAGCAGCAGCGCACACATGCCGGGCACACACACACACACGCCACGCGCCCGTTCAGGAGGCAGGGCACGACAGGCGTGTAACGTGTGTGCGGGGCACGCCCGCCCCCGCACCGTGCACGCGCTGGCGGGAGGCGTGTGTCCGCCCGCGCACGCGGGGGGGCCGAGAAGGGCCCGGCGGGCGGTGACAGGGACACTCGCGGGGCGCGCGCCCGGGGCAGGGGGCGCGAGACGGGGACCGGCCCCTCGCGGGGGGCAGGCGGCAGTGGGGGTCCGGGCCTCTCCCCGGGCCGGGTTCTCTGCCCGCACTCACCGGGGCCGCGCCGCTCGCTGTCTCCGTTGCCGGGTCTCGCCCTTCTGCCTGGAATCACCCTGCCCCGTCGCCGCCGAACGCTTCCGGTCACCTGACCCCTACGCACTTCCGCCGCGACGGGAGGCGAGCGGGGCCAGGCCGCGCCTGTAATGGGAAGCGCTGTGCCTGCGGCGTCGGCGTGGGCCCGCCAGAGGGCGCTCGCTCCCCGCACGGCCGACTCGGCCCCGCCCACCCCCTCCGCGGGGCCTGCGCTTGTGCCCGGCCCCTGGGCAGAGACCGCGCCGCGCGCCTGGCTGGGGGCATCAGCGCCAACGGGGGTCACGCCCCTGCCACCAGTTGTCATGCCAACGCCACCCGATGTCACGCCCTTGCCACCTGTTGTCATGCCAATGCCACCTGATGTCACGCCCTTGCCACCTGTTGTCATGCCAACGCCACCTGATGTCACACCCTTGCCATCTATTGTCATGCCAATGCCACCTGATGTCATGCCCTTGCCAGCTGGGATCACGCCAGCCTCATGCTAACAACAACATGCCAGTGCCACGCCATTGCCATGCTTTGTCACGCCTCAGCCCTGTGGGGTAACGCCAGGGATCGGCACCACCATGTTGCGCAACGGACACTTGACAAAATTACCCACCATCTGGGCTAACACTGGCATCACGCTAGTGCTACATAGTGTAACGTTTCTGCCACCTAGGGGCATGCCAGTATCATGCCAGTGCCGCATGGTGTCACACCCCTGCTACCTGGGGTCATGCCAGCATCATGGCACTACCACACAGTGTCACACGTCGTTCCACCATTGTATGAGGTCAAAAAATGTTATTAAAGCTCCTATGTAATGTTGCTTCATTGATGTGTGGCTAGTATAAGTCACTGATCACAGGGTATATTCCTGTATTAATCTGCAGCTATGGGGGAGCCCTGGACATCCATCTGACAGTCATAACCTGCAACAACTACAGCCGTAGGGGAAACCAGCCGCTCCAGACAGATGTGTTGCCTTTTCTGGGGCTAGGACAGGCCGCATTAGCCTTGTGCAGCAGTTGCCTCGTCCAGCGGCAAGGCCAGGAGGAAAAGTCTAACTGCGGCTCGTGCTGGGTCTGAGGCTGTCAGACCGCGCCAGGGACTTTGGGGTTTTAAATAGAAATAGCAACTTCAGGCCTCACTGTTCCCAGTATACAGTCAGCTCGGCAGCAGCCCCCTGAGCAGTGGGGCAGAAGGGGATCTTGAGCAGAGCAATTCACCCACTGCCATGTGAAATAACTATGGTAGAGAGCAGCTGTAACATGACCAACTGGACGATGGCTGAAGTGCTCAGGTCGCTGGGAATTCGGTGTTACATGTCACCCATTCACTTACCGTGTGACTTCCCAACAGGTGTATGTGAGCCAGGAGCGGGTATCGGGGGGATCAGACCTGCTCTTGTGTGTGTGTGTTGTAATGAACCACCTTTGTGTGGATGAATGAGTGTGCCAGCCCACAGGCAAGATAAGGGATCTACTATTGGGTGTGAATCCCAGCTTCCTCTGTGTGTGTGTGAGATTTCCCCAGTCGTGTTCCAGAACACAGGGCGGGCAAATGGACCAACATTTCAAATTCATTTCAGGGAGACTTGTGACCCTCCCCGATAAGGTCCCCCACGACCTGTGCTCCCTGTCCCTCTAACCCTCTTCAATCCAGCCCCCAGGCCTGTGCTCCCCAATTTCCCCGATCTTCACCGATCCACTCCCCCTGCCTCCCGACCTTCACTGATCTGACCCCCCTGCCTCTGCTCCCCAACCTCCTCTGACATTCACTGATCCACCCCCATCCTGTGCTCCTCCTCTGAGCCTCACCAATTCACGCCCCCATCCTGTGTTCCTCCCCCAACCCTCACCGATCCACCCCCCCATCCTGTGCTCCTCCCCCAACCCTCACTGATCTGACCTCCCCGCCTGTGCTCCCCAACCCCCGACATTCACTGATCCACCCCCCATCATGTGTTCCTCCCTGACCCTCACTGATCCAACACCCCCATCCTGTGTTCCTCCCCCATCCTATGCTCCTCCCCTGACCCTCGCTGATCTGACACCCCCGCCTGTGCTCCCCAACCTCCCCTGACCTTCACCGATCCAACCCCCATCATGTGTTCCTTCCCCAACCCTCACCGATCCAACCCCTCCATCCTGTGCTCCTCCTCCAAACCTCATGGATCCAACCCCCCATCCTGTGCTCCTCCCCTGACCCTCACCGATCCAACACCCCCATCCTGTGCTCCTCCCCAACTCTCACCAAGCTGACCCCCCCAACCTGTGTTCCTCCCCCGACCTTCACCGATCTGACCTCCCAACTTGTGTTCTTCCCCCAACCCTCAGAGATCCAACTCCCCAAGCCTGTGCTCCCCGTCCCTCTGACCCTCTCTGTTCCAGCCCCCCATCCTGTGCTCCCCTTCCCTATGCGTTAGAGTCAGTGTTCGAATTCAGGGATTTCTGTCACCCCGTCTAGTGCTCTGGTTCCCATTTGTTCTAATTGCTTCGTTTGATGCACGCCATTCATTTATGTGAGTGTTGCTTCATGCTGTAAACGCTGTGCCCACCTGGGACTTTGCATTTTCATGATGCTGCACACCCCAGCCATGCAGAACTGGGGACAGACCTCAGCTCCATGAGCACAGGCCCCTACCACTTGAAATAAAGGAGGGTCACCATCAGCAGTATTGGCTTATGACACACAGTAGAGCAGCGTCTTGTGCTGTTGTTATAAGAACCAACAGAAGTTCAGTGGTACTCAACCTTTTCTGTACAGGGATCCCTTTCCCACCTACTTGGGATCTAGTCAGGATCCACCTTCCATTTAGCAGTAGAGGAAGACCAAGATGGTTGCGATCCCCTGATACCTCTTCATGCTGCCTGCCCTGTTGATTACCCAGACAGCAATGGTGGCAAGTGGGCTGAGGCGAGAGAGCCCTCTGCTAGCTCCCTGGGTAGAGCAAGAATATTTGATGGTTCCTCCAGGCGACTCTGGGAAACCCCTCATCACTCTTGCTCATCTCCGTGTATTGGGATTTGGAAGTTCTTGCCTGAGTGTCATGGCTGAACCACAGCAGTAGCCGGGGTGCAAGAACCTGTCGGCTTTAGTGACTTATCCCTTACCACAACCTAGCCTCTCCCAGCGCATTGTTATTCATCATATGCTCACAAGCCCATGTTTCCGGAGCTGGGGCAGATAGGACAGTGTAAGGCAGAGGCCAGGACACTGACATGACAAGCTGCACCCTGGAGTTTCTATTCAGCCTCTGGAACAACCAGCGTTCATTCTGTGTTCAAGCACTGGGCTCCCTCCAGCTCCAGCTGAGCAGAACAGGACTTCTGGCAGCTGGGGGTGGGGTGGGATTTCAAAGACATTCAGGGGATTGAAAATCACCTCCTCAAAGCCTGTCCAGAATAGGTGGGGCGTCAGGCAATGCAGCAGCAAACTGACGGTGGCAGGTTAAGCAGCCCATTCATCTGATCCCCTCCCCTCCCGCTGTTTTATTGCTGGAATCCCATCAGCTTAAGACCTAGTCAATGTCACTCAAGGAGTTACAAGCAAGTTCAGGTCCAACTCCTGCCCTTTGGTCTGCTGGGCAAATTTGGGGGTTTTACCATTGCATTTACCTGTACAGTTGTTCTCCCTCCCTCACGCAGACAGCAGGGAATCTCATTAAGGTCCTGATCCTGCAGTTGGATCCACGCAGGCCTGGCCCTGCGCCCACCCACAGCCGTAATCACACTAAAAAGGGAGGGGGGGGTCCTTTCTCCCCAAGGGCAGTGATGGCAGGAGGTTGCTTGTAACAGCTGTCAGACAGAAACATGCATTGAGGCGTGGGGCTCTCTTGGAGCCTGGCTGGAGTGTAGCAAAGGTGGGAAAGGAATGAAGAAGCTAATAAATAACCCTATTGAAATAAATAGCAGGCGGGAACCTCTCCAGAACAAACATTCCAGGACCCTCCCAGTGCTCGCAGCTCCATTCTCAGGCTCTCAGGTGGAACAGAGGAACAATGATCACTTTGTTAATCCCTTGGTGTCAAATCCAGTGACTTTGGCCCCTCACTACCTGTCCCCTTTTTTGCCTTGACCGTCCTGCTGAGACATTACCAGTGTCCAGCAGCCTTAGCTTGCTGCTTCCCTCCCGGCCGGGTGGTCAGCCTCAGAAACAAGGATGGAGGCGCACATCAGACCTGCCAGCTGGGGCAGAAAGTGGAGCTAGGCCTGATTAGGATTAGCTCTACCTGGCCTGGATGAGCCTCCTCCTTGCTACAGTGCCCCTATCTGTCAATCAGGGAAGGACGGGATAGCTGGATGCACAGACACAAATGGGAGTTAGGGGCTCGGCTTTCAATGGGAATTGGGTGCCTACCACCCAGTTGTGCTTTGAAAATCCCTTAAGGACTATCCAGTAACCAAATGGTTAATATACTCTCCCACCCAGTGCATGAAGGCCCCCTTCTATTACTGTGACAAATCCATTCATTGAATGAAAGCCAGCAAAACCCAGGCTGCCCCAAGCTCACAGCCCCGAGCTGAGGTGAGAGTTTCTTTCTTTTGTGGTTTGTTTTTAAAACCTCTGTGATCTTCTCCCACCCCAGACACAGCCGCCGAGGTCTGAACGCCGAGTACTTCTGCGCATTCGCTCCCACTGCCCCTTTCCATCGACGAAAATACAGACCAGCCAGAAATGGAGATTCTTAAAAGGGGCCTTTCTCCATTTTATTTTGATGGAATAAAAATCCTTCACAGTCAGATATCGATATAGAGAGATAGCTAGAGATACGTATACATATAGATCTTTACATATATATATATACACCTATCTCTATATGGACATATCTATATATGTACACTGTAGAAAATCCAAAAGGCAGCGACTCTTCACAATGTTATAACCCGATGGAGATGTACAATAGACTAGTTGTTGATTGTGAAATGTGCTAGAGGTTTAACAATAGGTTTCTAAATGGATACATCTTTGCTGTACAATAAGTCAATTTTTTTAAAAATTTCTTTTCTTTAAAGACATTTACCAGAGGCACAGTTAATGCGACAGTGTCTGAATGGGGACATGAGCCACACCTAGGTCTGTTTTAATTAATACTTATTCTTTTGAAAGTATTTGTTTTCGAGGATGTTTTTTCCAAGTCTTGCTAGACCGAGTTCAGAGAGACCCATCAACAGTCAACGTGGAACACAGGGGAACAGTTTAACTTCTGGTTTGAATTCACAGTAGGGCCTGGTCTACACTAGGACTTTAATTCGGATTTAGCTGCCTTAATCCGAATTAACCCTTCACCCGTCCACACTACAGAGCCAGTTAATTCGAATTAAAGGGCCCTTTAAATCGATTTCTGTACTCCACCTCGACGAACGGAGTAGAGCCTAAATCGATTTTGTTAATTCGAATTAGGGTTAGTGTGGACGCACACCACCGAATTACTGTGTTTAAGTTAATGGGGTAGTGTGGCCG